CCAAATCCCAGCCCACATCCCAGCCCATCCTGTCCTTGCTCCCATCCCAAATCCCATCCCATCTTATTGATCCCATCCCTGATCCCCATCCCCATCTCTCATCCCCATCCCATCCCAATCCTGATCCCATTCCTGATCCCGTTCCTCCATCCCAATCCCGATCCCATTCCTGATCCCATTCCTCCATCCCAATCCTGCATTTCTAAGGCTCCCCCATCCCAATCTCCCCATCCCAGTCCCCCCATCCCATTCCCCATCCCCATTCCTGGGATTTTGGGAGCCGTTCCCGTTATTTTGGGGTTGATTCCCGGGATTTTTGGAATCCCTGTCCCTGCAGCTCCGCCCTGGACGCCATCCAGGAGGCCCTGAGGCTGCTGGAGTCGCTGGCCCAGAATTCCCAAACCCAGAATTCCCAAATCCGGGATCAGCTCCTGGACGAGCGCGCCCAGGCCCTGCTCTGGCTCCACATCTGCACCCTGGAGGCCCTCGTGGAAAAGGTGGGTGGGATTTTCCCGGGATTTGGGGGAATCCTGGAGTTCCTGCATGTCCCAAACCATTCCCAGGATGATTTTCCCGGGATTTGGGGGAATCCTGGAGTTCCCAGCTCATCCCAAACCCTTCCCAGGGTGATTTTCCCAGGATTTTGGGAATCCTGGAGTTCCTGCATGTCCCAAACCATTCCCAGGATGATTTTCCCAGGATTTTGGGGAATCCTGGAGTTCCCAGCTCATCCCAAACCCTTCCCAGGATGATTTTCCCAGGATTTTTGGGAATCCTGGAGTTCCCAGCTCATCCCAAACCCTTCCCAGGATGATTTTCCCAGGATTTTTGGGAATCCTGGAGTTCCTGCATGTCCCAAGCCATTCCCAGGATGATTTTCCCGGGATTTTGGGGAATCCTGGAGTTCCCAGCTCGTCCCAAACCCTTCCCAGGGTGATTTTCCTAGGATTTGGGGGAATCCTGGAGTTCCTGCATGTCCCAAGCCATTCCCAGGATGATTTTCCCGGGATTTTGGGGAATCCTGGAGTTCCCAGCTCATCCCAAACCCTTCCTGGGGTGCAATTTTCCTGGGATTTTGGGGGTTTTGGGACACTCGGCTTTCCCGGGGTGCTTTTCCCGGGATTTTGGGGATTCCCGGCATCCCCAATCCCCTCCCCACGTCGTTCCCTTCCCAGAGCGTGGCTCGGGAGCGGCGCGGGCGGCGCGGGAACGCGGAGCTGCCGGATGGATCCGAGGGGAGCGCGGGAGAGCGGCCGGAGCCGCGGGATGGGATCCGCTGCAGCCTCAGCTCCGACAGCGGTGAGGGATTCCTGGGATCGGGGATTCCCGGGATCGGGGATTCCCGGGATCAGGGATTCCCGGGATCGGGGATTTCCGGGATTGGGGATTTCCGGGATCGGGGATTTCCGGGATCGGGGATTCCTTGGATCGGGGATTTCTGGGATCGGGGATTCCCGGGATCGGGGATTTCTGGGATCGGGGATTTCTGGGATCGGGGATTCCCGGGATCGGGGATTTCTGGGATCGGGGATTCCCGGGATCGGGGATTTCTGGGATCGGGGATTTCTGGGATCGGGGATTCCCGGGATCGGGGATTTCTGGGATCGGGGATTCCCGGGATCGGGGATTTCTGGGATCGGGGATTTCTGGGATCGGGGATTCCTGGGATCGGGGATTCCCGGGATCGGGGATTCCCGGGATCGGGGATTCCTGGGATCGGGGATTCCTGGGATCGGGGATTTCTGGGATCGGGGATTCCTGGGATCGGGGATTCCTGGGATCGGGGATTCCTTGGATCGGGGATTTCTGGGATCAGGGATTCCTGGGATCGGGGATTCCTGGGATCAGGGATTCCCGGGATCGGGGATTCCTGGGATTGGGGATTCACAGGATCAGGGATTCCTGGGATTGGGAATTCACAGAATCAAGGTTTCCTGGGATTGGGGATTCACAGGATCAGAGAGAGATTCCTGGGATCAGGGATTCCTGGGATTGGCCATTCCCAGGATTGGGGATTCCTGGGATCGGGGATTCCCAGAATCAGAGAGAGATTCCCGGGATCAGGGATTCCCGGGATCAGGGATTCCCAGGATCAGGGATTCCTGGGATTGGCCATTCCCAGGATTGGGGATTCCTGGGATCGGGGATTCCCAGAATCAGAGAGAGATTCCCAGGATCAGGGATTCCCAGGATCAGGGATTCCCGGGATCAGGGATTCCCAGGATCTGCCAGTCCCAGGATCAGCGAGGGGATTTAGGGATGACCGAGGCCTCTGGAAGGTCAGGAAAAGCTTTTCCAGGAGCAGTGATGAGGTTTCCTGGGATGGATAAAAACCCTGGAGGGGCGGGAGGGGATTTTTTGGGATCCTGGAAGGCCAGGGAGCGATTTTTTGGGATGCTGGTGGATCTGGAGGAGGTTTTTTGGGATCCCAGCTGTCCGGGAAGAGCCCTTCCAGCATCAGCACCGAGCTTTCCCGGGCAGCACGATGACTTTCCCGGGATGATCCTGCTTTGGGAAGAGCTTTTTCCCGGGATTTCCCTCCCTGGCCGAGCCCTCTGCCCCCTGCAGCTCTCTCCAAACCCTTGGACGAAGCCGTTTCCCTGTGGGAGCAGCTGCTGGAGAATCCCGGGATTCCGGCGCTGCGCAGCCCGGAGCAGAGCGTCGGCTCCCTGCAGCTGCTGGCCGCGCTCTTCCGCATCCAGGGAAAGGTGATCCCAAATTCCCGGGGATCCCCGGGATCCGGGAGGGACTTTGGGGTGGGGAGGGAGAGGGGAAAAGTTTGGGGTGAGGAAGAGGAAGGGAGGGAGTTTTGGGATGAAGGGAGAGAGGGAAAAGGTTTGGGATGAGGAGGAAGAGGGAGGGGATTTTGGGATGAGGAGGAGGAGGGAATTTGGGATGAAGAGGAGGGAATTCGGGATGAGGAGGAGGGAATTTGGGATGAGGAGGAGGAGGGAATTTGGGATGAGGAGGAGGAGGGAATTTGGGATGAGGAGGAGGAGGGAATTTGGGATGAGAAGGAGGGAATTCGGGATGAGGAGGAGGGAATTTGGGATGAAGAAGGAGGGAGTTCGGGATGAGGAGGAGAAGGGAATTTGGGATGAGGAGGAGGGAGTTCGGGATGAGGAGGGGGGAATTTGGGATGAAGAGGAGGGAATTTGGGATGAGGAGGAGGAGGGAATTTGGGATGAAGAAGAAGGGAGTTTGGGATGAGGAGGAGGGAATTTGGGATGAGGAAGAGAAAGAGAGAGGGAGTTCAGGATGAGGAGGAAGAGGGAATTTGGGATGAGGAAAAGAGAGGGAAAAAGGTTGGGATGAAGAGGAGGGAGGGAATTTTGCGATGAAGAGGAGGGAATTTTGGGATGAGGAGGAGGGAATTTTGGGATGAGGAGGAGGAGGGAATTTTGGGATGAGGAGGAGAGGGAATTCAGGATGAGGAGGAAGAGGGAGGGAATTCAGGGATGAAGAGCAGGCAGGGAAATTTGGGATGAGGAAGAAGGAATTTAGGGATGAAGAAGGAGGGCATTTGGGATGAGAAGCAGGGAATTTCGGATGAGGAAGAGGAAGGTGAGAGATTTGGGATGAGGAGGAAGAGGGAATTTAGGGATGAAGAGGGAGGGAGTTTGGGATGAGGAGGAAGAGGAGGGAATTTGGGATGAGGAGGAGGAAGGTGAAAGATTTGGGATGAGGATGAAGAGGAGGGAATTTGGGATGAGGAAGAAGGAATTTAGTGATGAAAAGGAGGGAATTTGGGATGAGGATGAAGAGGAGGGAATTTGGGATGAGGAGGAGGAAGGTGAAAGATTTGGGATGAGGATGAAGAGGAGGGAATTTGGGAAGAGGAAGAGGAAGAGGAGGGCCAGGTTTTGCCGGGATTCCCGGGATTCCCTGGAACGTTATCCAGGGATTTTCCCTGCAGCCCCTGCAGGCCCTGCGGAGTTTGCGGCTGCTCCGATCCCTGTGCCGGAGGTTCGGGGATGGAGCGGGAGCGGCCGAGGCCCTGAGCCAGCTGTGCCGGATCCTGCTGCAGCTGGAATGTCCTGGCCACGCCCAGGTAACCGGGAATGGGACCTTGGAATCTGGGAATGGGATCTGGGAATGGGATCTGGGAATCTGGGAATGGGAATCTGGGAATGTCCTGGCCACGCCCAGGTAACCGGGAATGGGACCTTGGAATCTGGGAATGGGATCTGGGAATGGGATCTGGGAATCTGGGAATGGGAATCTGGGAATGTCCTGGCCACGCCCAGGTAACCGGGAATGGGACCTTGGAATCTGGGAATGGGATCTGGGAATGGGATCTGGGAATCTGGGAATGGGAATCTGGGAATGTCCTGGCCACGCCCAGGTAACCGGGAATGGGACCTTGGAATCTGGGAATGGGATCTGGGAATGGGATCTGGGAATCTGGGAATGGGAATCTGGGAATGTCCTGGCCACGCCCAGGTAACCGGGAATGGGACCTTGGAATCTGGGAATGGGATCTGGGAATGGGATCTGGGAATCTGGGAATGGGAATCTGGGAATGTCCTGGCCACGCCCAGGTAACCGGGAATGGGATCTGGGAATCTGGGAATGGGATCTGGGAATGCCCAGGTAACCGGGAATGGGGTCTGGGAATCTGGGAATGGGAATCTGGGAATGTCCTGGCCACGCCCAGGTAACCGGGAATGGGGTCTGGGAATCCGGGAATGTGCTTCCCAAACTCAGGGAAATCTGGGAATGTCCTGTCCAGACCCAGGAGAAACAAAGCAGGATGAGGGAACTCCAGGAATTTCCCAAAATCCCGGGAAAATCCCCGTCGGGATGGGCTTTGGGTGCTGATCCAGGTCTGGCATTCCCAGGTTTTCCTGGAAGAGCTGGAATCGTGCCTGGAGGAGGAGGAAGGCAGCGACGATTCCCGGCTGCTCCTGCGCCATTCCCGGCTCCTGCTGCGCAGCCATCTCTGCTGCCTCCAGAACCAGGCAAAAACGGGGATTTTCCCAAAAAAAATCGGGATTTGGGATGGGGGAGCCCCCGGGATTTCCCGAATCCCGGTTTTCCAGGCGGAGCAGGGCGTGGCCCCGCTGCTGGAAGGAGATTGGGATGATGGGAGCACCCCCTGTGGTCACTAAAATCCTGGATTTTTTCCCGGATTTTTTCCCAGATTTTTTCCTGGATTTTTCCCCATTTTTTTCCCCATTTTTTCCCCATTTTTTTCCCCATTTTTT